ATAAAACTAGCATATCTAGGTTCCAAAATAACAATCCTCATTATTTTCATATGATACATGAAATATATATCTCTTTCCTAATTGATTTTACATTTCCAACCAATTTAACACATCAGAAGACATGTTCATAATTAAATGGAAACTTTTGGTCATCACAAAGAAATTCACAATGAAAGTCCTTGATCAAATATACCCCCTCCCATTTTAAGAAACCATGTGTTCCTTTTTAGTTTTTCTTCAACTTTTTTTTTTTTTATAATTTTTTTATTAACGTGAGTGTCCGGACCAGTTTGCGCGCACCACGACTAATCTCACGGCCCACTGAACATCCTGCAAGCCTAATGAACAGATAAGGCACCGCGGGGGTAATAAGCATACTACACAGAAAGGACCTAGTAGAGACGAAGGAAACAATGCTTTAGCCCCACTTCCACTTTTTTTTTTTATAAATTAATTTACCTTATCATATACACAATTTCAACATAATTCCACGTAATATTTAAATCAATTCCAACCGCATTATAAAGATTTCATAGGCTGAACCTATGCTACGAAGGAATATACAAGTTTTTCTTTAAACTTTTATACTATTTACTTTTTATCCTTTTAATTTTTATATCTATATTAATTCAATTCAATCCAATTTTCATAATAATTAAAATAATTAAATCTATTTCCCCATTCATCTAGGCTGAAATTCACCGATCAAAAGAGGAGACATGTTTTTTTTTCTAATTCTCCATAATTTTCACTTGACCCAAATCTTATTCTTGTCCAAAAAATAATTCTAAGTTAGAATAACAACACAACACATTAAACTCAACTTTTCATAATGTATACATAACGGAATATGCTCATAAACACATCAAAAATTCAATCAATTCATAAATAAAGTTCCTTACCTCTTTCTTCCTTTTTTTACCTTTCAAAATCCTTACTCTACACCTTTAACCCTCTGAATCTTGGGTTTTTCGCTTTTAATCAACCTAAAATCTCTTTTAATCCTTTAAATCTATATATATATATATATATATATATTGTGTTTTCTCCTTAAGAATTTAATAGAGAAATAAAAAATCCTCTCTCTTTTCTATCTAAGGTGTTGTCCTCCACATGCTTTTTCAAGAGGCTTTATAAATATATTTGGTGAAAGACCATAATTCTCTTATGCATATTTCACATATTTTTTATTTAATTGGAACTCGTCTCACTCCATTTTAAAATACTATACTTAAATATCCATTCATTGAAAAATTTCCTTTCAATAATTTATTATTATTTTCATTTTAAATATTTAATTAATCCTTGTTATTATTAAGTTTAATTTATGATATTGTTACTAACACAATAACATTCTACTTGAAATTAACAATCCATAACTTGATAAATCAATTTAACATATCTAATCTTTTATGTTTTTAAATTAACGATTTATATGGAGTGCATGCGTGACCATGAGATATTGATTAAGATTTGAGAATAAAGATAAAAGTTTTTTTGATATATTTTATATTTACATTTGTTTTAGTCTTAGTTAAACCAGTCAAATTCGGTTTAGTTCAATTAATTATAAATTTTAAAAATTAAATTAGATCAAAATATTTTATTGGATTTTTTAACCGTTTTTCTTTATTTTTTTTTATTTTTTCAATTTTTTCAGTTACTTGATTATTCTAAAGACCCTTGGCACAAAAGATCTTAAGTTTGTCTAGTATAGACTTTGGTGTACCCATTGTCTTTGGCTTTACGTATTTTATTTGAGGAGTTTGGTTTATCAATAGCCTTTGACATTTTGCATTTGGTTTGAGATTTCTCGTTTGCCGATATTCTGAGGTTTTTTAGGTGTAATCAAAAGGTATTTTAGAGAATTTTAGGCAGAGCTTTGAGGATGGTATACATACATACATACATACATACATACATACATATATAAGGAATTAGTTGTAGAAGTTAAATTAATCCTTGAAAATATTTGAGTCATAATAATAAAACTTTAAAACTAATCTCGAAATATTGTATCCCTTCACGATAATTTTATATCTATAGTACAACTTTAAGACGTTTTTAAGATGAGTAACTAAAAGCAACGAATACCCTTAGGTCAACACTTCTCCTCCTACGATAGTTTTTCCGCCAATGGCAGCTACCTCTTCAAACCAGTACAGTGAGCATCCTCAAACAATAGCTCCAATCAACAGCACACCTCCCTAGCTAGCTAAGTTCTCCTTTCTTCTTGCATTTTAATCTACCCTCTCTGTTTTTTTTTTTTTTTTTTTTTTTTTTGTTAAAAGCATGCAAAACATGAATTAATTTATATTGTGCAAGCTTTACAGCTTGTTCAGTGGATGAGTCCAGTGACCAAGTTAAGTCCAACCCAGTCCAGCACAGCCTATATAACGGGGCCAAGTTTAATCTTTTTATAAACAAAAAAGAAGCTCAATCCATTGGGACTGAGTTTAGACCCTAACTACCTTAGCTTTTAGGTTAAGAATGTATTCGATGGACACATTCTAATACTTTTTTTTTTTTTTAGTTTAAGTATGTTTTTATTTTAATATTTCGTTAAACAAAGCCTTAAAATATTCAAAATTTTTTGAGAAATTTCAATGATTATTTTGAAATTATTTATAGGTTCCTTATATATATATTTTTTAATATTTTTGCTTAATATTAAGCTAGATACTTATTCTATAAAATACAGATTCAATATTAAAAATACTTTATTTTTTTCTAAATTTTCAAGCAAAAATGAAAAAAAGATTTAATTTAGAAAATACAAAAATATATTTTTATTTAATATTAAGTTGTAGACTTATATTATAAGATACAAACTTGATATTAAGGATGTTCGATTTTCTCTAAAATTCTAAAAAAATTCAAAACAAATTTAGAAGATCTCCTCATTTAAAAAAATATTTTTTTTCGTGCTTACAACCAAATTATAAAGGTTTTTCATGCATACTTTCTATAAAAAAAATTATATTTTATCATGTTTTAAAAATACAAAATAAATATCGTAATCAGTCTATGATTATCTATTAGAATTTGGTTAAAATACCACAAATTAATATTCAAAGTATTAGGATTTAACTGTTAATTGTAATATTTAGGGCTATAAAATTATATTGTAAATATGCTCTTATGTATTAAAGATATAAAATAGAAAATAAATGCGATATTAAAATTAAAGTTTTAAAACGATTAGAATTTAACCTGATAAGGTATAGATTTTCTCACAAAAAAATATTTATCTTGAATTTTAGATGAGACCAACAAATAAAAACATGATTTAGATTATCAATCAATTATAAATGAACTAATAATCCTTAATAAATATTAGATAAGAAACTTTTGCCAATACATTCTTTTGCTTAGTACTTAAAGAACCTACTTTATATATATATAAAATACCATTTGGTATAGATGATTTTTTTAGTCAAATTAAATTTTATCCATATTATTTTTTAAAATGCCATTAAATTAAGAATAATTCCTTTTTTATTTACTATTTTTTTAATAAATTACTTGTATTAGTTCTTTTATTTATCTCTCTCTTTTGTTCATGAATCACTAATTAACCCATTCTCTTGTGAGGGGATTAATTCCTTCTTGCTAAAATAAATAGGCATCCTCCAAAAACAGCACTTCTTCGTTTTCAAAGATCTAGAATGAATAATACAAGAAGATCTATCATAAGATCTTGGTTGTTGATTCTATTTCCTCGCTTTCTATTTTGTGTTATACATAATAAAGTTTAATTTAAATAATAAATGAAGATCTAATTATTCAAACTTGGTTTTGCTGAAAATTTAAGGCGGGAAAGTTATAACAAAAACTATAACAATCACACAGCCGGAAAAAAAAAACAATTTAAAGTCTAGAATTACTAATTCATTATTATTTAGAGTTGGAAACTTCACATTCTTGATGAAATTCAAATGAGCTTTTGTTGCTGGGATTCACCTAATATTCAGGAATGTGTTTGAAATTATTATTATTTTTTTATAAATTTAATTAATTAATTTAATTTTTTTTAAGATTGTTTTGATGTAATAATATCAAGAATAATTATTTTAATATAAATTTTTTTGATGTATTTTTTTTTAAAATATTTTAAAAAATAATTACAACAGTGTTCTTAAACACTCTTATATTTTTTTTATTTTTGAACTGAACCTCGACATTTAAAAGCCTTTTGAACCTGACTAATCCGGTTAGGATGGGTCAGCACATTAAAAAAAAATAAAATTCTCTTAACGGTGGTGTGTTTTATTAAGAGGGCTCAAACTCAAGAAATTGTTTAATGAAAACAAAATTCGAAGCTTCTTGAACCAAGTTACAACCCCCTTTAGTTTGATATCTTTCTGACTACTTATGACTAGGGCAGCCAGTCGAGTGTTATGTATGAAATTAATTATTATCTGAATAAAAAAATTTAAAACAGAATTCCTTATGTGATAGGATTTGTTATTTAATGCAATCCTATGCGCACTAAACAGTAGGGTTTTTTCGGTGGTGAAGTCTGGCTTTAGCCTAAGAGTAGTAGAAGAGTCTTGTTTTGAGATTTTTCTTCTTATCCTCGTCATGGAGACTTATCCTTCCTTCTTCATGGTTTAGAACCCCTTTGTGGGTGTTCGCGTTAATCTGTTCCCCCTTGCTCCTTTTATGTGAACCTGTTTTGTCTTCTTCCATGTCATGTTGATCAGTACTCGGTCTAGTTTAATAGCTCGGAGTTAACTCATGTGGAGGATCCTGAAAGTTTGTAAAACAGGTGATAGAAAACTGATGAATCAATTAGCGTTTATGAGTCAATTTTTGTCTACATGCATTCTCTTCTTGTGTTGTTTTTGTGTATTACTAGATAGGGCTGATATCTGAGTTTCAAGTCTTTGCATTATCTGCACGGTTAACCCTAATAACAGCTTCCTTCTTCTTCTTCTTTCCCTCGGATTTGGAGGGGAGTCCTGCTTTGGCTGTGTGTATTCTCGAAAGAGGCTGCAATGGCAGGTCAAGGTAGCGAGTCTAATGCCTACCCAGGAAAGTTTTATTTCGGCCGTGGTCCCAATGCCATAAGTCATCTGTGCAATCAGAATGTAGATTCGGATGATCTTTCGCAGGAAGAAATGCAATCTGATCAGATGAACACTGCCTCTTCAGCTAATGTGAGCCTGCAAGATAGTCAGCTCGCCAATGGACCGTCAGCTGCACTGGCGGCTAATTCCAGTGCTCTCTTTCACAACATAGACTTGAATGCTGCATATCAAGGCAATGACATCGGTGACAGTCAGGAAATAGGAGGATCGGACACTGACAAAAATGCGCCTGCAAGTGATTCATCTAATTCTAATAGATATATAATCTCTTCTGGAATTGCCGGGTATGTGTTGGACGAAGACGAGGGTGGAGACGATTCTGCCTCAGGTGGTTGGCGTATATCCTGCAAAAGAAGAGCTCCTGAAGATGCTGGACAACTGTCTCTGGGTGAAAGCTTGAGATCAGTGAAGCAAGGAGATAGTTTTCAACAGCCAGCTGTTATTAATCAAGAAAATGCTCCTGGAAGATCCGCCGTGAATAATCACCCAAATGCTGGTTATCCAGGACAGCTTGGAGATAGACTTGTGGTTGGAGTCGGAGCACCTCCTGCCCCTTGTCAATCATCAAGTGCTGCAGGAGGTGGAATTGGAACTGAATCTGGAACAGGTTCTGAAATGCACCAGAATTCAAGTATGGTAAGACAAGCTGAGAACTCCCAGCGAAATATCCGTTTGAGAAGTTCTGAAAGTCAATCAGATTCTGTACCTGATAACCTGTCTGCTTGGACCACAAGGAATCCTCATGTGCAATCACCTGGCCAACTATCTGTGTTTTATCAATTCAATCACCTTCCAAGTTCAAACACAGCTGCAGAAGCGGGAATGGTTCGTGTAACTTCTCCAATACAGCCTTTTATGGGCATTCCCAATTCTTCGCAGACACTACAGACCTTCCAGTGGAATGAAGTCACCAGGGCAAGAACCGGTGAGCCATCTACTTCCTCTATGAATGGAGGCAATGCCTTGCATCAGGATCTGAACTTGATGAATGATCCGAAGAATGGAACGCTTCCTCCTGAATTTCAGAGGGCAAATTTGCCGAATATGTCAGCAAACCTTCACTTTGCAAATGGGAGAGATTTTGCGGGAAACATACCACCCATTCCCCAAAATGGCTCAAGTTCAACCCAACCATCTGCTCCCACTTGGTTTCCCCAACCCAACATGTTAGAACACTATCCTGGCAGAATGCCTGACCTTGCCAATCGCACTGAGCCTCGAGGACCAGTTTGTTACAGGCCATTTCATTTGGGTGCTTCACCTGCTGCAGAAGAGAGGGAATTATCAGAGGGGAGTGGTAATACAAGGCCTTCTCAGATGCCACTTGGGCAAGGCTTGGCAATGACTGCCAACACAGAAACTGCCACTCGTGAAATGACACTCCGGGCTTTGATTTCTGTTCAGAGGAGAAACAGGCTGGCAACTGAGGTATGCTTAGAAGATTATTTCCTTCTTAAACTTTACTGCTTTCATTCATGAGGTTTGTGTCAATGTCTGCCTTTTGAAGAGACCAAAAGCCTGTACATTAGTTTTTGAGACCTCGAGATAGTTATGATCTGTTTTAGTTTTTAATTATTTATGCATCACGTTAGAAGAAATTAAATTCTCTTGGCCATCACCATGTGCAATTTGTTTTAGCCTTGGTAGGAAATAAAAAACAAGAAGATAGTTCAAAGCTTTTAGTTGGTGGTATTCATCCCTGGCCAATTTGGATTTTTTCCATTTATGCTTTAGCTATGACCTCCTGATTAGTTCCATTCTGTATTAGAAATGTGTCCTCAAAGATGCAAGCTTTTCTATTTGGAGCCTTGATGAGAACTGGGGTGCTTCCGTGCACTGAAACTTGTGTAGTTCTGACAGAAATGATAAAAATATATCTACTTACATTATCATTTAAATCTACTGGGATGGAAATGTGCACAGTCAACAGTCTAGATTGAGCATTAGCAGGTTTTCAAAGATAAAATGGGATGTATGGTTTTAGGAAATTGAAACGAAGTCCATTTATCTTGCTACCTATTCTGCTATACAGGTTAGATTATGTACATAATAATAGAAAGCTTGGTCAGATGTTCTTAAGGTCCCTTGTTTTCGGATTTAACAGGTTCGAAATGCTCTGAAACTTGTGCTCAGGAGGGGTTCATTACAGCATGGGATTCTAGCTGAATCTTGTGGTTGTCTTTACGTCATACATGCCACTTTGCTCTTGTTTTTATAAAGAACATCCAAAAAGATTTGTAAAGATATATCTGAAAAGATCAAGTAGCTCTACTTAAATTCGATTCAAATGGAAAGAAAAATAGTTGAGCCTTTTCCTTTTAGTTTTGATTCCGTAGAGAATCTGCTCATGCTTTTGACCATTGATGGTATGCCAGGATGTTATGTTAATTGACCGTTCAGCTTTCTTCGGTGACTCTGATGACGACGAGCCTGATGAACATCAAGATATGCGCCTTGATGTGGACAATATGTCCTATGAGGTAAGAATTCTTTAAAAAAAAATAAAAAATTAAGGCATTCATGGATTCTTTTTTGAAGTGTTTTCTTCGTTTAAGATAACTTCGCATCCACTTCATGGATTCTTTTTTGAAGTGTTTTCTTCGTTTGAGATAACTTCGCATCCACTCATTTTTTACTACTACTTTTTTAATAATGCTTCTGTGATTTAGCAACTGCTGGCTCTGGAGGAGCAAATGGGGAATGTTTCCACTGGATTAAGTGAGGATGCTATTGTGGCAAATCTGAAGCGGTGGAAGTATCAAACAGTTGCAGGACGATCTAGCAGTGAAGATGAACCATGCTGCATCTGTCAGGTAAGAGCTGCTTGATTCTTGTACCTCCTACACCATTGAATAATCTGTAGAACAGAACATATGCCAGTGTGGTCATGATTAATTTGCAAGTATCAATAGTTTCACTTCTCCGAGTTATTTTACTGTGCTTTGGTGATTCTCTCAAGAGTATGCTTATGCAAAACAGGTTAAATTCAATGGAAAATATGTACTACTGTTTTTATAGTTTTTCTTTGGAAATTTTCTCAAAATAGAAAACCAATTTCTTTGAAGGGAAAAACAAAACATTTTCTGTAGTCTTGTACTGTCTAGGAGGTTTGTCACGAGTGAGCACGCTCTTAGATTTTCTGGAGGTGAGGTATTTGCTCATCGCTCTTTACTGGTACGTACGTACATTACATTTTTTGTGTTATTTTTTTGGTAAAATCCTGTATGCTCTATTCCCGCGCCCAACATTTTACAGGAGGAATATGCTGATGAAGATGATCTGGGGAAGCTGAAATGTGGGCATCACTTTCACTTCAACTGCATTAGGGAGTGGCTCGCTCAGAAGAATAACTGCCCCATCTGCAAAAAGCCAGCCGTGGATTTTTGAGATCGCCAGTCTCGGCTGTGGACAACCGTCCTTGCCCATGGACGATTGTTCTCACTCATTCGCTGAAATCGTCTTCCTTTTCTTATAGAACTGTTATCAATGACTGCAACAAACAGGCTCATGAGATGCCCCAGTGACTCATGCTTTACTCTTGTTGTATTTTATTTGAGTTCATCGTACATGTTCCTCAGGCCTGGTCATCAGACCTGAGTTGACAGGGTAAGACACACTCCTGATACAAGAAGGTGCAGTATATAATCCGATTTTCAAGTGTCTCATTTCCACTTCGATTAGCTGCTTGTTCATGGATGCTGGAAGCAGCGTTTTGAGACCTTTTTTTTGCATATCAGGTTATAGATACATTGATGGAACTCAGACATGAAGAACTGAGCATCGCTATGGCTCCATTTTGGCAGTTTTAAAGTTCACAGATTCAAATACTGGAATGAAAACATTAATTTAAACTGTTTCTCAATAAGCTTGTAGCTCAGCAGCTCAAGGAGCTCTGACACTCTTTTTTGAAGGTCTCAAATTTGAACCTTTTCTTTAGTTTAAAAAAATAAAAATCATCCGTTAAATACTTATTAAAATTAAATAATTTAGGCAAAACTCCTGAATTTAACTTTTTGTTAGCGTAAATTATTTATTTCTACCCTTGTGTTTTTAATTTGGTCAATTAACCATTACGTTCTTTAAATTTGTTGAATTAACCCTTCTCTAAATTTGTCTAATTAATCCAATAGCTAACTTCCTTGAAGTCTCAATCTTAACCATGCATATATATATATATATATATATATATATATATTTTTAAAAAATGTATGGAAAGATTTTAGATGTAAGGCATTATTATATACTTTTCATTCATGAGATGATGATCTTTTTGCAATCCGTTAGCTATAAATTAAACTAGATATCACAATGATTTAGTTTGCATACCATGCAATGGAATCTAATGAAGTTAATGTTGCAATAAAATTTAATAAGAAACCTAGCATCCCATAAATTTGTGGCTTGCGCCTCATCGCTGATCAAACAAAAATTTTTTCATTGTAAAAAAACTAAAGCTAAAAAAAAAAATTAAGATCCAAGTCATTAGTTTAATTAGTAATTTAAACAATACAATTAAAAAAATGCAACAATAAAAAATAAACAGATAAAAAAATAAAAACAAAAAACAGGTCTCTGAGCCAACCCGAATTCCTCAGTTAAACCGAGTTAATTCACGAACTTTGTGACTATAGACATGAGATTAGGATAATATCATAAAAAGAAATGCAAGGAAAAAAATTTAAAGACCAATTCCTAATAAATCAAATGAGAATACAATAACTCTAAAAAGAAAAAAAAAGAAGAAAAATAGGAAGCTCAATCTCTAGCAAATAAAATCTTGAAGGACAAAAATTAAGGAAAAAAATTTAATTAAAAAAAGAAAAAAAACTTGATGCGAGCCTCTCAGGTCAAGATGTAAAATCTTTAACCCAATTGTGATACCAGGGTGAACTCTTATGAAAGAAAACTAAATAAAATTATTAAGCTTAATTATCAAAAAAATATAATGTTGAAGGATAAAAAGAAAATAAAAATAAACAGAGGTCAAAATTATAAGTCAACTTGGGTTAACCTGCAAATCTTGTGATGATGAACACAAGATTGAGATACCCTAATAGAAAGGAAAGGAAAAAAAAAAATGAAGACCAATTTCTAATAAATCAAGTGTTGAAGGAAAAAACTAAAATAATTCAATTCACGTTAACCTTTGAAACTAGTGACTCTAATCATAAACCCAAGACCAACCTCATAGCAACAAAAAATAATATGATTCAATATAGATTAACCTGTAAACCCGATGACTATAAGCACAAGATTGAAATAACCCAATAGAAAGGAAAGGAAAAAAAGATAGGAAAATGTTTTTCAAATAAATTAAATATTGAATTATAAAATTTAAATAAATCAAATTAAAAAATGGATCTATCAAAGAAAAAGTTAATCCACGTTAACCTTTGAAATTTGTGATTTTAGTCATAAACTTGAGACTAATTTCATAGAAGGCAAGCTGTAAAAAATAATAAAGCAAAACTCTAAAAAAAAGTAAATAATAAAAAAAATTATAATAAAAAAAAACAAGTTAACACGGGCAAATTTTCTAAACCTAGTTTAATTTCTAAAACTTGCATCTTGTAAAATCCTTGAACTAGGTTCAATCAAGAATCTTAACTCTCAACTAATTTAATTTTGAATGATGAAATCAATTTTAAAAACTTGTCAAATAAAAAAAAAGATAAAAATAAAAAAAAGAATCAAATTTGATAGGGAAAAAAACTCAATGAGGATGAAATTGTAAAAAAATAAAAATAAAAAAAAGAATCCAAGAAAATAATATAAATAAATAGCAGTTATAAGAATAAAGATAAAATTTAAAAGATAAAAAATAGCTTATTAAAATAAAAAAACTAGAAATCAAAACAATAGGGATCAAATCTAAATAATTAAAAAATAAAACAGGGGTGAAATTGAAAAACATTAGTGATTTCATGACTTATTCAAAATAAAAAAATAACAATAGAAAAATATACACCAAATATAAAGGAAAAAAAGTTAAAGGGAATGATTTGAAATTTTAAATGAGCTAGTGTTGAATTTAAGGAGTAGAAATAGAGATAGAAAAAACAAGAAACGATTGTCAATGCCAAACCTAAAATGCATATACGGTACCTCATCATGTTGAAAGCACCTAGACATTTCAAATATTTATGTGAAAAGTGATGTTTGATGGCTAGATGACCCTACATGTGCTGCCCAGACAACATGAGGGATGTTAACGCACTAGCAAAGTGCAAGTTTTTTTCCTAATAATATATAATATATAATATATATAAGTTACAATAATGTCATTACATAACCTTCAAATCTACAATGAAACCAATGTAAACTGATATATATATATATAAAGTCCTTGTGAGAGATATGTTGGTTTTATTTTTAAAGGTATCAAAGTAATTATATTATTTTTAAAAAAATTAAAAAGACTAAAATGCCCCTAAAAAAATGGCATTATAGTTTTTTATTCTAACCAAACCTAATATAATTTATAAAAGACAATTGTGTCATGGTAAAAAGACCATCTAGTCCCCAATACCTAGTTCAAAGTTTTTTTTATTAGACTCAAATCATTTTACTATTTCAATGAATACTGAAATGTATCTTAGGCTACAATAACTTATCCTTCTCTTTTAGTGTTTTTTTAATTATAGGTGTCTTAAATTGATTTTTAACATCTCTCAAAAACAATTTTAGAAAAAAAATATCTTTAAAATTATTATTTTTTAAATCATTTAAAAGAAATTTATCGAGAAATATATTTTAAGATTACAAATTTGAAAAAAAAAGTTTTAAAAAATCAAATGCATTTTAGGTTACAATTAGGCTAGACTTTAACTTATAAGCAATCAATAAACAATATAAAAATGTAATCAAGGGTTTAATTGAAGATAAATTAAAAAAAAAAGGTTGAAAGTGGTCACAATTGAGATTATTGGAAGACCAAGAATTAAAATAAAAAATATGACAAAGTTTAAAGGTCCAATTCATTCAATTAGGGGCTTGATCAAAGATGAAAACTTAAATTTAGGATACAATTAGTTAAAATTACACAAATTAGATGGAAAAGGACTAAACTAAAACAAGCAACCAAGGTTGAGGATGAAATCATATAAGATTAGGGGAAAGAATTGGAATAAATTCGAAGTTGAAAGAGTAATTAGGAGCTTAAGCGAGAATTCTTCAAACCAAGGATTGTAATTGAAAAAACATAAAAATTCAAGGACCCAAATGAAATTAACCAAACAACGTTGTTCCAGTTAAAATAAAAATCCTAATTTAACTTAAAGATTGAATGACACATCGTTTTGTTTGTCCTTTAAAGCCATGTTTCTGCAAATGTAACGATAGCCTGTCCTGAGGGAGAAAATTTAGCCCTCTCTTCCCTCTTTGTTTTGCCTCTCATTAAGACAAACAACACACTCCACCTTCCCTATGCCAAACCACATGTGACTCCAAGCCAAAAAGTTGTTTTTTTACAGCCCCTAAATCGCTGCCAAATCATGCTAAAACCTCTTCCCAACTAGCCTTTTTCACATTCTTAGAGCATCTCTAACTAGAAAGCCAAAAAAACAAGCAAAAGGAAAATATTGTACTTTTAGCTTTTTTGTTTGTTTCTGTTTACACCAACCAGTCAGCTAAATTGACAGCTAAAATAGTTGTTGAACACAATAAATGCTATTTCTATATTTCTCTGTAACATAAGGTAAATATAAATAGCAGTGCTGGCTATTGTTTTTTTCTCTGTTGATTTATATCCATTAGCCAACATCTTTATTTTGTATCTGTTGGCCAACGCTAATTTTTTTCATTTAAAAACAGAACGAGTAGAAGGAAGAAAATAATATTTAAGCAAAACAGAAGGAAAAGAACTTACCTATAAATTTCACCATTTTCTCTAATTTGGAAAAACAAGAATTAATTGTTCTTTGATTAATTAATAACATTGATTGTGTTAATTAGCTGAAATCAAAAGGTATGTTTGCTTAAAGACTTTTTCTATTTTTTTTGCATCTCTTGATTTTTATTTGCTATTTGTAATGATTTTCATTTCTTTGTTATTTTATTTTTTTGATATGGGTTAGAAAGACAATTTTTATTTATATTGTTATCTTTGACAAAATTGAAAGGAAGTAATGATGGTAGATGATATTGATAAAAACATCAAGTGGCATATCTTAAATTTATTTTTGATTGTCTATTTTAATTTGAGGTCAATTATATTTTGTTTTGTTAAAAATACAACTAAACCAAGTGATTAGATTAATTGTATGATTAGAGTAATGTTAGAACAACTAGAAGGTAATTCTTATTATTAATTCACATGTATGCAAACTATAAAATTGCTAAACATTGAATGTGAGCTTCCTTTACACTCTTTTGTAAGGTTTTAACTTGAGTTTTTTTTTTTTTTAATGTAGATGGATTCAAATTTTTCAAGCTCTTTTACCAACTTTGTTATAAGTGAGTTAGAAGATATTCTCTCTTAACCAAGTGATTTTAATCAATTAATTAATAACTTAAATACTCAAATTTAAATGTCTATACAATAAAAAAATCACAAAGAAGTGAAAACTTCTTACTAGAAGAAGATTGTTTACTTGTCTCTACATGGTTAAATACAAGTAAGGATCCAATTAGAAGAGTTGAACAACAAACAAAACAATTCTAGGCTCGCGTACATGCTTACTTTGTAGAGAATAGAG